CCCGGCCCCCTCCTGCCACACGGGGAGACCGGCTGTTCCCCTGGAAGCGGGAGCGCGCTTCCCTCGCACGCTGGCGGAGCGTGGGGCCGGGCTGTGGCCTCCCGGGAGCGCAAAGGGGGCCGCTTGCAGGGGTGCGCGTTGCTGTGCACTTGGGGCTGGGGAAGCCGAGCTGCGAGGCTGGGCTAACTCTGCCAAGGAAAGCCTACGTCTTTCTTGTGTGTATTCATATTAGTAACGTACACTGACATTTGTCTAATGACTTGTGTTAATGTGCTCTGCAAAAAAATGTTTTCTTGGGGATAATCCAGTTCTTTAGCCTGTTACAGGTTTCCTCATGTGCTGTTGCCAGACCAGGATGTCCTTGAAGACACGGTGTTCTTAAATTAACTTGAGCTTGTCCAGGGTATTGTGCACCTCTTATGCCTTCAGACTGTTTTATTTTGCATTTAACGTAAGCATTGCAGTTTCGCCACATTATGTGGTGCATATGCTTATTGCTGGGGGGCTTGCTGTCACGTTTACTGTAACAGTTGGGTTTCATGGTCCAGCAACATGAATTTCACAGCCCTGTCTAAACAATTATACTCCAAATGGTATTTTGAAAATTGTGAGTGATGTTTGTTAGTTGGAGATAAACTAAAAACACCTGATGTGCTCTACACATGTCTGTATGTAGTTTTGAGGCAATTTGAACCCATAAGGAATTTTATTTATAGTTTTGGAGCTTCACTCTCCATTATATTAAAATGTTCCTCTGTCAGAGCCACAAGTGTAGGACAGTCAGCAGTGAATTTATTATGGATCAGAATCAGTTTGATTGACTCACTTTAATCAGAGTTTCAGGCCTTCGTCTTGCAGACACTTCTATGTACCTTACCTGATGCTTATGATTATGGTCATGGGATTATTCAGGTTGGAAGGGACCTCAGGAGGTCTGTAGGCCAACCTCCTGCTCAAAACAGGTCAGCTGTGAGGTGAAACGAGATTGCTCAGGGCTTTATCCTATCAGGCTTTGAAAACCTCCAAGGATGGAGACTGCATGGTGTCTCTGGGCAACCTGTTCTGCTCCCTTACTGGGCTCATAGTAAAAATATTTTTCCTTATATCCAGCCTGAAGCTTCTTTCTCTTTCAACTTTTGCCTGTTGTCTCTTTGCCTACTACCACGCACCACTATGAACAGCCTGGCTCCAACTTTAAGCTCTATCAATTCTATAAGTCTGACTTCTGTCAGTTTAGTGTCTTGTTTCGAAATCCTTCAATGTTTTGTCATACAGAACCCGAACTTGTAAATGCAACTTTGCTTTGCTTTACTTGCATTAAAATTTGCTTTGAAGATCACCCCTTGAAGACTTCTGTTTCTGATGTTTGTTCTTTTGCTGGGATGTTCTGAAAACTACTCCAGGTCCTAAGAAGCTTCTCACGTGTTCAAACAAACAAACAAAAAAGTATTTGGGGGAGTGGGGTAGTTGCAGTGCTCTGACTCTCAGTCAGTGTATTTTACTGGGTCTTTATCAAGTGTGTGAGATGACTCAGGTGACTGGCTTTTTTTACCCAAAATAATTATTTTTTTAAAAAATGGGTAAAGAAACCTGTTTAGTATAGTTAAACCACACCAAAAACTTTATGAAATAATTTATTTCTAGTATTTCTAATGTTTTTTGAAAGAAAATGAGCCAAAACTGAAGTTGCAAGAGCTGCTTTGCTGAAAATTTGCTGGAAGGGCACCTCCTTGTGATATAGTGAAGATAAACATGAAGCCTGTCATTAAAATGAGGGATGTAATGCTTATTTGTATTAAGCACATCACTGCTGAAAGAGCTTTGCTTATGACTGAATCAGTGATCAGAAGTTTCTGTTAATTTGCAATAAATTTAATTCCCCAAACTTAGACTCTTTGGATGTTCTTTTATTTCTATTTGTTTGAATGTCTGTTGAAGTTGCATTGACAGTACTTGAATAGGCCTTCGAAGGGCTTTAAATCAGGTTCTTAGATCTGTGGCTTAACTGAAAGAATTCTTGTAGCAAACTGAAAAATACAAAGTTATGGTCTACTTTTCCTTGCACAGTTTTTCTCAGACTACCGTCTACTTATCCATTTGGCAGTTTTTAGAAATGTCAGTGATCAAGCTACCTTGGTCCTTGTCCTTTACACCTCTATTCTTTATTACCAAAAGCAAATTCCTTCCACTTTTGTGGACCTGGGAGGTGGAATGTTGCAAATTTAAAATTTAAACGGGGAAGGAGGTATGAGTAAATTAAAAAGCATGTTTCATTCAGACCAGAAAAGTCTTTGAAATCGGATAATTCTGTTTTGTGAGAATTTAGATAGCTCTTTTAGACATAAGATGCTCCAAAAGAGATCGAAGTGCAGAATGTGTTAAAATGCTCAGTATCATTTTACTCATTCAGAATTGTTCTGATCCAGTTTATGAAAAGACATATTAGTGTCCTGTTCTTGTGTGTGTTTAGGTCAGTTACTTCACAGAAAATGGATGTTTACTTGTAGTGCATGCTCTCAGACTACTCTTTGATGTTGTGACTTCTTGGCTTTTAGCTTCTAGAACAGAGCACTGTTCATTCCTAAGCCTCTTCACTAAGTGCGATTGATTTATTGGTGATTAATCTACGTTCCAGGTGGTTAATCTTCAAAGATTTTGATTCTAATCAGGAATGGAACTGATCTTTTTCCTCTTGATTCTCAATTTATTCCCTTTCTCACCCCCCCTTTCTCTCTCTTTGTGTCTTTTTTTTTTTTTTACTTAAAGGAAACACCGAGGAGGCTGGAAGGCTACTGGGCAGCAAGAATGTCCGTGTCAATTGCTTGGATGAGGTACAGTGAAACTGTACAAGCATTATGCTGGGTTTAGCAAGGAGAAGACTAGGTCTGAAGGCCGCCTTGTTGTTAAGTAACATTGCTATATAGACTCCTGGAAATCAGAGTTATTCTGAAGATATTTCTAGCCTGCAGCTGAATAATGAACTTTTGAAGAACTCTTTTTTTTTTTTTTTTTTTTTTTTTTTTTT